TCCCTCTCCGCGGGGCTGCTCTCCAGCCTCTCCTTCCCCAGTCTGCAGGTACCTCCAGGGTTGCCATGTCCCAGGTGCAAAATCCAGCACTTTCCCTTGTTAAACTGCATCCGGCTGGTGATTGCCCAGCTCTCTAATTTGTCCAGATCTCTCTGCAGGGCCTCTCTGCCCTCGAGAGTGTCAACAGCTCCTCCCAATTTTGTGTCATCGGTAAACTTTGATAACAAACCTTCAAGTCCTGCATCCAAGTCCTTTAGGAAGATACTGAAGAGCACTGGCCCTGAGATGGATCCCTGCAGAGCCCCGCTAGTGACTGGTCGCCAGCGCGATGTGACCCCATTTACTATAACCCTTTGAGCCCGACCCGCCTGCCAATGGCTCACCCATTGCATTCTGTGTTTATCCAGCTGTAGGCTGGACATTTTGTCCAGGAGGATGCTGTGGGAGACAGTATCGAAGGCTTTACTGAAGTCCCAAAAGATTACATCGACTGGCTTCCCTTGGCCACCTAGGTGGGTAACCTTGTCGTTGAAGGACATCAGGTTTGTTAAGGAGGGCTTTCCCCTGGTGACCCCGTGCTGGCTGGGACCAGTGACTGCATTGTCTTTCAGGTGTTTTTCAATACCTCCCAGAATAATCTTCTCCATGATTTTGCCAGGCACAGAGGTGAGACTGACAGGCCTGTAGTTAGCGGGGCCATCCCTGTTGCCCTTCTTGAAGACTGGGACAACGTTTGCCAGCTTCCAGTCAACTGGGACCTCTCCAGATGCCCAAGAGCATTGAAAAATCATTGAGAGAGGTCTCGCTATGACATCAGCCAGCTCTCTAAGCACCCTTGGATGAATCCCACCGGGCCCCACTGACTTACAGGGATCCAGCTGGAGCAGCAAATCCTGCACAAGTTTGGGGTTGGCTGGGAGTTTGTCGTTCTCGCAGTCATGGTTCTCTAGCCCAGAGCTAGAGGGGGTCCCAGAGCCCATCATCGGTGTTGAAGACCGAGGTGAAGAAAGCAGTGAACATCTCTGCTTTGTCTATGTCCCTGTTTGTGAGGTGACCGTGCTCGTCAAGTAACGGGCCAATGTTATTTCTGGCCTGCCTTTTGCTATCTACATACTTAAAAACCCCTTTTTATTGTCCGTCACAGTACCGGCCAGCTTCAGCTCTAGCTGAGCTTTGGCCGCGCGTCTTTCCTCCCTACAGTGGCGAACGGCATCCCTGTAGCCCTCCCAGGTTGCCTGACCTTGCTTCCAGTGGCCATACATTATCTTTTTTCGTCTTAGTTCTAGCATAAGCTCCCGGCTCAGCCAAGCCGGGCTTCTACCTGGCCTGCTTGACTTCCGACATTTTGGAATTGCCTGCTCCTGTGCTCTTAGGAGGTGGTTCTTAAAAAGTGACGAGCACTGATGGACCCCAGCACCTTCAGAAGCTTTTTCCAGAGGACCTTCCTAAGTCGTTCCTGGGCAGCCTGAAGTCAGCTCTCCTCATCTCCAGAGTCGAGGTCCTGCTGGCAGTTTTGCTCCTGTTACCACAGATTGTAAATTTGACTGCTTCGTGGTCGCTGTGGCCAAGGCAGCCACCAATGGCCACTTCACCCACAAGACCCTCTCTGTTAGGAAGCCGCAGGTCGAGGAAGGCACCTTTCCTGGTTGGTGCTCTTAGTACTTGTATCAAGAAGGTATCATCCAGGCACACTGCCGGAAGATAGGGCAATCAACCAGTCTCTTGCCAGGCCTTTTTTTCAGTCTGGGATGACGTGCAGATGCCAGTAAAGACACGTTTTGACAGTCCTTCCTATGAGCTGTGTGAGCATCATCGTGGTACCTGCCAGTGGCTCCTGGGACCCTGGGTGGGGTGTGTGTTGGGAACCAGTGAGCGGTGGTGCTCCCCACAGCACATCCCGGGCAGGAGTGTGTCCTGGGCGTGTGCCGCGGGCAAAGCTGAGGGCCTTTGCACGGTCTTTGCTCCTCCGCGGCCCCTGTGGGTGATCCTGCAGCCCTCTGGGATCTGAGCCATCCTGGGCGGGCCCACGAGACGTTCTGGAGGAAGAGGAAAGCAGGAGCTGCTGAGGAGCAAGGCGGGTGGTTTAGTAGCTCGGAGGGTTTCCTCAGGCACTCAGCTGGCACTGGAGGACAGGGTGGTCTGCACCCCTGGGGACAGAGGAGAGTGCTGCCAGGCTGAGGAGGAGGAGGAGAAGGCAGGTGGGGATGGAGGAGCAGGGAAGGAGGAGAGCGGGTGTGGGCTGAGTGTGTCTTTCAGAAGGGCCAAGGACTGTTTCAGGCCTTGAGCTACTCCTTTGCTTGAGGAGGTTCACGTCCCCATTCCTATCCCTGCTCCTCGGCAGCTCTACATGTGCTTTCTCAACGGTCCTCCATCTCCTGGCATCATTGAGGGGAAGCGCAGTGACTCGGCCCAGCTCTAAAACCCATGCAGTGGTGGTGGGAAGCAGGTGAATATTGCCTCAGAAATGGGAGCAGTGCTTCTGGAGTGCACCCCGGTCGCTAGGAGGGGTTTTGGGGGAAGCCCTGGGATCCTGGTGGCAGGGGTGCTTCTGTTGAGTACCAGAGCCTGGATGCGCCTGGGGAAAAAAGGCAGCCAAAGGCAGCAGCACTGCCACTGCTGGGAGGTTCCCTCCCGAAAGGGGAAGCCTCCTGTATCTCATGAGATGTCCTCATGTGTCTCTTTCCTTCCTGTGGTTGCAAGTCTTGCAGTCAGCTACAGATGCCTGGGCTCAGAGGCAGCGAGTGGGGCTGAGATTTCAGTCCTGCCCGGGGACTTCACGGTAGCATGGCCCTGCAGTTGGTGGCTCTGAGCTTTCTCCTGGTGCTTGTCTCTCTGCTGGCAGCAGAGGGCCAGAAAGAACCTGATCCCACGGTCCAAGGAGTGCCCCGGGAAACAGGTAAGATGCGGTTCCTCCTCTGCCCTGGGGAGATTGTGCTGTGGTCGGTCGGGGATGGGTCATGCCCTGCAGCGAGCCGGGTTGCCAGTGGCTCCCCGGCGGCTGCAGGCATGAATCAGGCGTGAATGAATGCATGCACCGTGAATCAGGGGAAGGGTCTTCAGGGAGCAGGGCTGCCCCTTTCTGCACGTGTCCTGTGCCCAGGCGTGCCCGAGGGACGCTGTGCCTGCTGAGAGCAGAGCAACCAGGAACTTGCTGCCGCTTTGGCAGCTGGATGGGCCTGGGCGTGGGGAGCGCCTGGGTGCCTGTGCGCGGGGTGGGTGGTGGCTGTGTGTCAGCGGGACAGAGCTGCTGGGTGCGGTGCTCAGCTGGGCATCTCTTGCCTTCTGTAATCGGGGTTGTTTGAGAGCAAAGCCTGCCCGTAAGTGGCTGGTTGCCCAGCACGCCTGTGCTCCTCATGGCTGTTGAGAAGATGGTCTGAACCTTGTCAGATCCCTTCTCTGCCTCTTTGGGAGAAGCAAGTTTGCCGTTTAAGCACTCGGGGGCCTCCCAGAGCCTCTTGCAGAGGCTGGAAGAGGGAAGTGCTCCTTCCCAGGTGTCAGCGTCCCTGCCTGCAGGAGTGGTTGCCACAAAGCCTCCCCTCACAGCGCTCAGCAAACTGCTGGGACGGGCGGTGCCTGCTCAGCCCAGAGGACGGTGAATGTGGTGAGGAGGGGATGGGCCTGGGAAAAGGGGCAGGGGCTGTGGTAAAGCAGGGGACGTGAATTGCATTGCTCATCCCCATGTGCCGCTGCACGGTGGCGTGGGGAAGGAGGAGAGTGGCTGAGGGACTGACTGAGCCAGGGCAGGGACCCCAGAAGTGTAAGAGGGGCATCTGTGATCCCGGTGGGAGGGATGAGCCATGGCTGGAGGGACATGCACCCCAGCAGGGCTGGTGGACGGTGGCTGGAGGGGGTCGCGCAGCGCAGGGTTGATTGTCTTGGACAACTCCCTGCTGCGGGCTGTGGAGGAGGGAATACACAAGGATGAGGGAGGTTCACGGAGGAGTGACCCTTCACGCTTCAGGTACGCAAGGAGAGCCTCCTACCAACGAGCCTTGCCTGCAGGTCACCTCCTGGCAGACGGACATGTCACCTCCATCCCCATGTCCCTCTCCCCTCAGGGGCTGGAGGGATCGCTGGGGATTGCTGGTACCCCACCACCTACCCCTGACCCACCTCCTCATCCCCTCCCCCCCCAACTAACACCCCCTTTCACCTCTGCCAGCAACGTGCCAAAGGCCCCAGTGGGACTCGAGACTCCAGATGGCACCAGACCAGGACAATTACAAGGAGAACGAAGAAGTGATGCTGAGCTGTCCTGCGGGTTTTCACCCATCCTTCACCCACGTCAAATGTGTGAGAGAAGACCAGTCTACCCCTTTTGGGACACCTGTATATAGAGAAGTTTGGGATGGAAAGCTCAGAGGAGGTGGCTGGATCCGCATTCAGTCCTACCTGGCGTGTGTCGGTAAGGGAGGCATCAGGAGCTCTCCTGGCTGCCCCGCTCTGCCCTTGCTGAGCAGGAACGGGGGAAGGCAGGCTGTGCGTGCACAGGAGGTCTCAGTGCTGAGGAGGCTTCAGGCTCTCTGCCTGCCTGGGGAAATGGGAGGTGCTGCTGCAGGCGGTGTGGAGGCAGCCCCTGAGTCCCGCCTGCAGTTCTCCAGTGGGTGGGAGATTCTTGCTGAAGGTGTGGGTGACAAGGGTGTCCCTGAGGGCTTCTGGCAGCAGCTTGTGCACAAAGGAGAGAAGCGTGGGAGAGCTTTGTGTGGTGCTTTGTGGTCTGTGTGGCATCCCAGTCGGGGCAGGGGGATCAGAGGGCTCTGCTGCCTGTGTCCTCTCAGACTGTGCAGCTGTGAGTATCACAGCTTGCTCCCTGTAGGCTGGTCCCCTGCAGGCTCTGTGTCATGGTGGGCACAGGCTTGGCACCATCTCCTCAGAGCTTGGTTCACTGAGGCCCACCAGCTCTACCAGAGCTGCAGTGACCAGTTTCAGCCTCTCACTCTCCCTCCCTCCCTCCCGGCTGGGTGGGCAGCAGGGCTGTCTGAGTGCAGCACCCTTGCAAGGCTGGGAAGGGAAGGGAAGGAAGTGACCCTCTTGCAACGTTTCCTTCACAGAAGTCCTGCAGGTTGTCCCCGGGACCTTGGACATCTCCAGCACCAGCATCAAGCTGAACTGCACCTGCAGGCTCCCTGACGCCTGCCAGCACATGCAGGCCACGTGCCGGCTGGCAGTGCCTTCCTCCCCTCCCTGTGAGGCTGAAGAGGTGAAAGGAGAGGAGATGCTACACGGCCAGGAGGGAACATCAGGTTGTCCCCGGGACCTTGGACATCTCCAGCACCAGCATCAAGCTGAACTGCACCTGCAGGCTCCCTGACGCCTGCCAGCACATGCAGGCCACGTGCCGGCTGGCAGTGCCTTCCTCCCCTCCCTGTGAGGCTGAAGAGGTGAAAGGAGAGGAGATGCTACACGGCCAGGAGGGAACATTCACCTGTCCCCCTCTGCAGCCCTTCACTGACTACAGTGTCACCATCTCCCTGCCTCCCAGCACGATCCTGTACATGCGGCTCCTCAGGACGAAGGAAACGGGTACGTGTCCTCCTACATGAAGTGTGAAGGTGCCCTTCACCCGGCAGCTCAGCCTGATCATCCACTCCCTGCAGTGATGGTCCCGGGATGAGGGCTGCTCGTATCCTGTGGGGCTCAGGGGAAGGGGCTGTGCAGGGCCCTGGAGCACAGCACTCTCCCTCTCCCCTGGGCCCGGAGCTGCCTGCACCCTGCGCTGTGCTCAGCCCCTCCTCGCCAGTCCCATGCGTC